AGGTTTTAGAGACTGACCCACAAAAATGCTTTGCTATTAAAGCATTGAGAATTGTATGCAGCTAGATTATTCTTTTGGCTGTCAAATCACACACACAAAAAAGTCATTCACTGAGGCTAAATTAGTTTTAGTCCATGTAATTAGTTTAACCCTTAGCTTTAGAAGTAGATGTGGTCTGGCTTCTAATTTCATGTGGCTAGAATGTAAAACTATGGAGACAGAAGACCTCTGGTAACTTAACTATATCCAGGTGCTTTTTTTTTCCAGTTTCTTCTGAAATGCTTTGTTTCATTTATACAAATTGTTCCATTTTGTGGGACCACAAAATTATTTAATTGTCTATGCAGTTTCCAAATGAGTTCACTGGGGTTGACCTCTTGGATAGTGCTGTACGCTATCACTTGGGAGGATCCAGCTTCTAAAGAGGAGCTCAGGGCTCTTTCAGGGTAGATCAATCACCATGTTGCCTCTATTTGAGGAGGCAGTTAATGGAGCATGTATCAGGCCAGAATTTGTAGCCTTAGAAGTATTGGCTAATAATAATAAATACCTGGCCTATTCCATAACCTTCCAATGGAATGTGTCAGCTGTTAGAAAGGAACAGGGACCCAGAGATGGATGAGGTAGAAGGGTTCCTTTATTGCAGATACTTGTTATACCTCGGAACCCTAAAACCCTGGTCCCAGTGAACAACAGTTTAGGTACAGGCTCACTTCAAGGACTATGATGTCCTTTTGTCTGGTGGTTTGATCAACCAACAAATAGTGATTTCAGGGGCTGTATAGCAGTCCTCTTAGTGGTGTAGATTGTGATGGATGTGATATTTAAGATGTTCACAGTCCATTTTTCCCCCTGAAGCAATCACACGAATGAGCAAGAATGTGGTTTCACCTGCAATAAGTGTACTGTCAGATCAGATTATGCTTTTTTCTTATGACTATCTGTGGGAACATCAGGGGGTAGCCAAGTTAGTCTGTACAGGATAAACTTAAAAAAACCCAAATAGTCTGGTTGCACTTTAGTGACTAACAAAACATGTAGATGGTATCATGAGCTTTTGTAGGCATCTGAAACTGTGGGAAAATCATCATTGTAGTGGTGTTGTCCTTGTGAGAGACATTTTTTTAGGTGGATTCAATGGAATAATTATTTTAGGTCTCTACATGTTAATGTGGTAAATAAGTTCCATGGATCCTACACGTACCTATCGCAGTACATGGTGTATCTGATCCAGTGCACTAAGTGCCACAATAACAACTATATGGGTGAAGCAAGACTACCACTACAGTCTCGAATGAACACGCAGCAAAATGAGAAGACAAACAGCAATCACCTTGTGGGTGAATCCTTTCCATAATACAATAGCTTTATATCTGACCTCTCAGTCTTCATCTTCAAGGAAACCTGCATGCCTTCCAAAGATGAACCTAAAGGTTTATATTCATAACTTTGCTAGATGCTCAAAATCATAGACTGATTTATGAGACTAGATTCATTGCTTATTACAATAATCCTCCATTCTCCTCTCTATGACTGGGCCAATGGGCCAAGTCAATGAGCCACTTCACCTTGAATTGTCCCTTGTGGTTAACACTTATCATATACCAAACTAACTATTCCACTCTGTATTGAACTGTGATACTCTGATTACATTTCCCAGACCTGAAGAGGAACTCTGTGTAAGGTTGAAAGCTTGTCTGTCTCTCCAATGGAAGTTGGTCCAAGGAAAGACATTACCTCATCCGCCTTTCATTGTGGAAGCAGAGAGGCTGACTTACTAAACTCTGAGATACACAAAATGCTGTAATATCTGGCTGATTTCCATTGAGCTATAGTGAGGGTCTGAGTCTTATTTACTCTTGGCCTTGGTAGTGTAAAGTGACCGTAAAGTCAACATAGAAGTCGTCATTTCTCAGTGTTACAACTGGCCTGTAATGAGGTGGCAGGATCTTTCTATTGGAAGGTGTTATAACCCTACAGTGGGGTTTTGACTGATTCCTTACTCTTTATGTGCAAAGAGATGGGAGTGGCTCTTTGGGGAAAGAGAACTAGAGTCTTTGCAAAGAAATTATAGGAAAAGCTAAGTGAAGGGAGAAACTTTAGTCCAAGTTTTATGTTTGTTGTTGTTTGAATTATTACTAGTGCCAAAACCCAGAAAAGAGGATAAATGTGGACTAAATACAGACGGCCTAAGTCTCTGTTACCTCATTCTGTGCTGATGTAATGTCACCTATATTAATGTAGTTACGGTGGAGAGCCAGGCCTTGTGAACATAGATTATCTTCAGAGTAGGCTGAAAACCTTGTGTGTTCAGGGCCAAATTCTGCTTGCCTTATATACAAGAATAGTCCATCGAGCAAGTCAAGCAGGATTTGGCCCATAGTACACAATGTTTTTTTTATTGTAATTGTTTAGCACTCTGAATTTGTTATAAGCAGCTGCACATTTAGAGTCTTATTAAAAGAGAGAGAGAAATAAATACTTGATTTTGTGCATTTAACAATGGGGAAATAAGACATGTTCAGATATAAAATGTGACGTGTACACACCATGATAGTCTAACTGCATTATTAATACACAGTGTTATGGTTCTCCGTTCCTCAATTCAGAGAATCATAGCATCACAGAATACTCAAACTGGAAGGGACCTTGAGAGACCTCGAGAGGTCATAGAGTCCAGTCCCCTGCCCTCATGGCAGGACCCAGTACCGTCTAGACCACCCCTGATAGATGTCTATCTAATCTGCTCTCAAATATCTTCAGAGATGGAAATTCCACAACCTCCCTAAGCAACTTATTCCAGTGTTTAACCACTCTGACAGGAAATTTTTCCTAGTATCCAACCAAAACCTTCCTTAATGCAGTTTAAACCCATTGCTTCTTGATCTATCCTCAGAGGCCAAGGAGAACAATTTTTCTTCCTCCTCCTTGTGACACCCCTTTAGATACCTGAAATCTACTATCATGTCCCCTCTCAGACTTCTCCTTTCCAAACTAAACAAGCCCAATTCTTTCAGTCTTCCTTCATAGGTCATGTTCTTTAGACTTTTAATCATTCTTTTTGCTCTTCTCTGGACCTTCTCCAAATTCTCCACATCTTTCTTAAAATGTGGTGCCCAGAACTGGACACATTACTCCAATTGAGGCCTAATCAGCACAGAGTACAGCGGAAGAGTGACTTCATGTCTTGCTCACAACACTCCTGTTAATGCATCCCAGAATCATGTTTGCCTTTTTTGTGACAGCTGTTGGCTCATATTTAGCTTGTGGTCCACTATGACCACACTGTTGGCTCATATTTAGCATGTGGTCCTCTATGACCCCTAGATCTCTTTCTGCAGTACTCCTTCTTAGACTATGATAAACTATGATACCCACACGAGGAAGTGAGGAGACAGATTGACAGAGCCAGACGTGTACCCAGAAACCTCCTGCTACGGGACAAGCCCAAGAAAGAAACCAACAGAACACCACTGGCCATCACCTACAATCCTCAGCTAAAACCTCTCCAACACATCATTAGTGATCTACAACCCATCCTGGACAATGATCCCTCGCTTTCACAGGCCTTGGGAGGCAGGCCAGTCCTTGCCCACAGACAACCCGCCAACCTGAAGCATATTGTCACCAGCAACTACACACCACACCATAATAACTCTAACTCAGGAACCAATCCATGCAAAAACCTCGGTGCCAACTCTGCCCACATGTATACACCAGCAACACCATCATAGGACCTAACCAGATCAGCCATACTGTCACTGGTTCATTCTCCTGCATGTCTACTAACATAATATATGCCATCATGTGCCAACAATGCCCCACTGCTATATACATCGGCCAAACTGGACAGTCCCTACGTAAAAGAATCAATGGACACAAATCAGATATTAGGAATAGCAACGTACAAAAACCTGTAGGGGAACACTTCAATCTTCCTGGACACACAATTGCAGATCTAAAGGTAGCCATCCTGCAGCAAAAAAACTTCAGGACCAGACTTCAAAGAGAAACTGCTGAGCTACAGTTCATCTTCAAGTTTGACACAATCAACTCTGGATTAAACAAAGACTGTGAATGGCTTGCTAACTACAAAAGCAGCTTCTCCTCTCTTGGAATTCACACCAGATCAGCTACTAGAAGTGGGCCTCATCCTCCCTGATTGGATCCACCTCGTCATCTCCAGCCTGATTCTGGCCTGCATATTTATACCTGCCTCTGGAAATTTCCACTACATGCATCTGACGAAGTGGGTCCTTGCCCACGAAAGCTTATGCTCCAACACTTCAGTTAGTCTACAAGGTGCCACAGGACTCCTCACCACCTTCCTAGACAGTTGCTTCCCGTTCTGGATGTGTGAAACTGATTGTTCCTTCAAGTGGAGTACTTTGCATTTGTCCTTATTAAAATTCATCCTGTTTACCTCAGACCATTTCTCCGGTTTGTCCAGACCATTTTGAATTTTGAACCTATCCTCCAAAGCAGTTGCAACACCTCCCAGCTTGGTATCATCTGCAAACTTAATAAGCGTGCTCTCTACGCCAATATCTAAATCATTGATAAAGATGTTGAACAGAACCAGTCCCAAAACAGATGCTTCAAAACCCCACTTGTTCTGCCCTTCCAGCAGGATTGTGAGCCATTAATAACTACTCTCTGAGAATGGTTATCCAGCCAGTTATTCACCCACCTTATAGTAGCCCCATCTAAGTTGTATTTGCCTAGTTTAGTGATAAGTAGATCATGCGAGACTGTATCAAATGCCTTACGAAAGTCAAGATATACCATGTCCATCACTTCTCCCTTATCCACCAGACTCATTCTATCAAAAAAAGCTATCAGATTGGTTTGACGTAATTTGTTCTTTACAAATCCATGCTGGCTGTTACTTATCACCTTATTATCTTCCAGGTGTTTACAGATGGATTCTTTAATTACTTGCTCCATTATCTTTCCTGGCACAGAAGTTAAGCTGACTGGTCTATAGTTTCCTGGGTTGTTTTTATTTCCGTTTTTACTTCTCCATCTTTCTCTTAGTGCAGGTCATGTAGCACCGAGTGCCCATGACCACAATGGATGGTTTTATTCCAGGTGTCTTAGAGTTCCAGAGGGCTATTACTGATCTGAGTTAGCCATGTTAATTGTAGGTGAAAGCATGACTCCTACCAGTCCATGACTGAGCAGTGTCCTGACCTGATCTCAAGTCTAATCTTCAGAGTATCATAGAATCCTAGGGCTGGAAGAGACCTCAGGAGTTCATTAAGTCCAGCCCCCAAGACCAGAGACTTTATCCAAAAAAACCCAGCTGGAAGTGACCAGTGATGACTTAAATCATCTTGAGGTCAGTTTTCAATTATTAATTATTTATATTAGATCTAGTTATGTAGAAATCTGCTCCAAGGCTCTGCGTTTATCCCATGAGTAAGAGCTGAAGGATTAAGTCCTCAACCTTGTGCTTGAGAATCCAAAACACAATGGGTGGAAATTTTTTGAATAGCAGCTTGATTTAATTCTCCTGTGTTATTTAATTCAGATTCATATGGTGGTAAAGCTGCCTTACCTTAGCTGTTGAGAAGTGCTGAATCCATGACGGATGGTGAGTCAAGAGAGCTATTGTGTAGAAATTGTTTTGTGATGATGTTAAATAATACTTCTATTGTGTTAGCACTTAAGGTCCCATGAGTTTGGGGCCCCATTATTCTAGTCAATGTCAGTGCCTGGCCTAAGAGCACATCATAACAGATTGATGAGTCAAACCAGTGAGTCGAGATAGGGGTTGGAGAGATGACAGGGTAACAGAAAGAAAACATTGGCCAATCAAAGGAAATGAGGATCAGTAATAGCGCCCTCCTCACTGTTTCCAGGCTGCGGTCTGCATGTATTACAGGAGAGGTGAACTTGGAGGGATGCCTCCACAGAGGAACAGGTGCCGACTTAATGGATTTTGAATAGGAGCTTCACCAACTTGCTGGAGGAGAAAACAAGGCCCAATGATCCTCAGTCTCATAAGTGATTCCACTGGAACCCTGACACCTCTCCAAAAAGAGAGGAGCAGCTAGTTCTGAATTTCGAAACCCACAAAAGCAGTGTAAAGCAGTACAAAATGTGATGTGTGATTCGTGTGAAGGCATAATAAAAACTCCAACCACATTAATGACTCCAAAATGGTGATATAATTAAGGAATGGATAAAAAATTGTATTAAATCGAATAGAGCAGAAATCTGCTCCAAGGCCCTGTATTTGGCTCTGCATCAATTCCAGTATTTAGCTACCATAGCAACATACCCTTTGGGGGGAGAGGGAGAGGAAGAAGAAGAATTTACAGTAATACCTTCCACCGTTCATCTAATTAAATCTCACAAGTTTAGTGAAACATGCTGGATTTGTAACTACTCACAATCCGGTGGTTGCACTTGAAACTATCACACACTCTTTAAAATAACATGTTCATATGAATTCATGCAGCAATTTAAACATGCAAAACCTAGAAATAGGTAAAGTACCAGGCTGGAGCAGAAGGAAGGTTTCAGAAGCTCCTGTGTTGAACAATTTTCCTTACTTTTTGCAAAGGCCACTGCCAGCTCTCAAAGTTTTGAGAAAGAGGGAGCTCATCTAAAACTATTTTCTGCCACTTTAATGCATCACTCCTTCCTGGCACATGTATAAGGGGACTCTGTTACAGGGGCTTTGGGGGAAGCAAGGCATATTTTAAAGTTCTGTGGTCCAAGAGATTCAGATGCAAATCACCACCACCACCAAGCAATTGCTGATGTAAAAGAATCTTTGGGTAGGAAGCGAGAACTTTGTGAGTAACCTCTCTTCCCTACAGTCCCTGCTCTATCCTTTATTGTCAAGTCCCTCCCCCACCCCCAGCCATAAAGTCTTTTATTTCTTGGGAACAGGCAACTAATGAGAATAGGCTTCATCATGTGCCTATGTCAAACTTACAGTAAGTTGCAAAGAAAAATATCCCAAGGGAGGAGAGGGGGTTAACTGCTCTTCCAGGATTTGAGATCACAGCACCCACCTGTTTTTGCTCTGGCAGTGTGATTAGTGTTCTGAGATCTATAGGAGGGAAGAAAGGGAGAAAAAAAATGAAAAGGTGGGGAGGGGAGATGGGGGGGGGGGAGAGAGAGAAACACACAGATCCCTCAAGCAGAACAAAAGACAGCAATTCGACCACCACCTATGTTTCTCTCTCTCTCTCCACTGTAAGATCTACCTTCTCGAGGCTGAATAACTTGTACGAAGAGTTTTTCCCCTCAAAACTTTTACCACTTTCCAGCTGTGTGTGTGTGTCTGTCTGTGTCTGTGTCTGTCTGTGCGTGCGAATGCACCTACTGTAAATTGGTAAATACTATCCTTTGGGATTGCTACTGCCAGGTAAGACATGGTTTTAATTTTCCTTTTTCTTGAGGTCCATTTTGCACAGGTTGGAGGGCTTGTTTTATTGACTGTATAAGTTGCTTTACCTCTTCCCTGACCCCCTTCCCCCAGTTCAGTTAATGCCTCTCTGTGTTGGATGGTAATAAATATAAGAGGACATTGATTGCTAAATAGATGCACCTTCAGGGATCCTGTGGAAAGAAAAGGGTTTGTCAGGGACTGAAGTTGGGTGAAATGAGTGTCTCCTCGGGTAGTCGGGATTCCCCGCCCACACACACACACACACACACACACGCGCGCTTTTTTCAGACCATGAAGTAGGGTGCTGCAGCAGTGCACCCCGCCAGCAAGGAGGGTGAGGGAACAGAGGTAATGCAAATGTTGCATCATAAATTGGTTAGCTGGGGTGCTATTTCTCTGCTTGTCAGAAAAAAGGACATTACAATAAGTGTTCCAGCACCCTGGACAGCTGGAGGGAGAAATGTGAAAATAGGAGGGTAAATGCTTTAACCTCCTCCATCATGGGGAGGGAAGCAAGATTGCTAGATACCCTGATCAGTAAATCCATTAAACAGAATATCAGTCATCTGTGTACATCTAACTTTTAATTAATCATTTTGTGGTTAAAAGCGCTTTTAACCACAAAATGATTAAATAAAAGTCCATGAGATTGTTTGCTTGTTTTTTTTCCACTCAATCTAGTCATTTTAAGTCTTTGCTTATATAAGTAGTTGCACTGACAGCAATTTTATCACAAAATGCCATTGGTCTGTGCTGTTCATGGTTTGCCATAACTGTGAAAGAACAACAATAACAAACAAAACCCCCTGCATTCTATAGCTCAGTAGAACCAGCAAGGTCTTCGTTTTGGTGTCTCCTGTATTGTCCCCAGAGACTTCCCTGAGAGAGACAATTCCATTGTGGAGATAATTGCTTCAAAACTATCACTTTTACATCAAAAGAACCAATTCCTGAGTTAATGTATGCTAATACCCCTGCCTGGAAGTTATTGGGTTGATCACCTACACATAAGAAAATAATTTGGCTGAAGTGTTTTTTGTTTTTTTTTTGAAGAATTTGGTAAAACAGAAAATAATAGAACAGTAGTATATAGTTTTTTGGTTCCCACTTCAATAGGAAGTTGATTTCTATTCTCTACGCTTTTTCAGTCCCTAACAAATAGCCTCAAAATGATTCAGAATTGCTAAATATAAATCAAATTCAAGGAAACACTAGTGATTAATAGTTAATGTCTTTATGGCATTTTAAAGATGTTCGAGTGCTATATAAATTCCAGGTCGCACTGTTTTTGGTAATTATGATTATGAAACAAAATTCAGCCTCAGAGAAAGAGAAATCAATGCTACCTGGCTGTCATCAGAAGCATGTAAACTAGTCTCACTTACTTGGTGTATATTTGCACACTATTTATTGCCTATATTTGAGGGACGAAATACATTAATTGCCGTAGACTATACAAACAGTGTCAGAGGGATAGTCGTATTAGTTTGTATTAGAAAAAACTTTAAAAAAAATTAATAGTCTGCAGCATCTTAGAGACTAACAAAAAATGTAGATGGTATCATGAGCTTTTGTGGGCACAACCCACATCTTCCGATGAACGGAATTTAAGGAGTCCAAGTTCCAAATAAACAGAAAAGAAAAAAGGGGAATAAGAAGGAAAAGGAAAAGAGAGAAAAATGGGAAAAGAATAGTCAATTAGCATTTCCATGCTAAATGAAGCTGATAGAGAGGATTCTAAGAACCCTTAAGAACTTGGTGCTTGGCTTTTTATGTCATTAGGATGTGGAATGTAGCAAATAATCCAGTTAAGGTCTTTGTTTAAACCTCTGTTGTAGGTATCAAACTTGTAAATGAAATTATGCTTTGCAGCTTCCCTTTCAAGCTGGTTTTTGAAATTGGCTTGTAATAATATGGAAACTTTGAGATCCATTAATGAGTGCTGGGTCAAGTTGCCTGGGCAAGTGTTTGGAAAGATGGTTGAGATAGTGTAAACTAGGTAAGACTACATATTGATTATATTGTGTTTTTCCAGAGAAGAGATACATTTGAAAAAAAATGAAAATTTCATACAGAGGAGGTTAACATGTTAATTCTATTTTTATACTTATTGAGGTTTGTCTCTTACACTTCAGTAGTTTGCATTATTAGCTACTAAGTAACAAGATGGCACAAAAATTCATGTTTACATAGTCTTTTTAATTCCTTATGCTTCCCAGGATTCATATCTGTCACCCCCCCCCCCACCACCACCACACACACACTTTATTTTGTCTTAATGTCAGAGGATTGTATTTTACATATTAGATTACTTTCTGTCATAAAGTTCTACAAGTGTATGGTTGGAAAAATTGGTGGCTGTTTATAAAATTGTGTGTACATGTTTATCTCTGTTTTAATGATGCCACAGCTGAAACTTGTTGTTTTTGTCTTCTGCTAGAAGTCTAAACAATTGTCATTTACCATTAAATAACTGTTTTGAATCAGATCACCCCAAATCAGTTTATGGATCACTAACTCAGCCCACACAATTTTTGAGATTTATTTTGAAGATCCACTTTTGTAGATTTGCCTTAATTTTAAGATTTATACTTTCTTTTTTGGTTTCAAAACAAAAATGTATTTTAATATTTGCACCCCAAATAATTGTTTCCATAAAGTGGAAAATGTTATGTTTTTGTAGCATTAAGACAGGAGGAATTGACCTTGCCATATATCTTATCTTTAAAAAAAAATAGTACAAGGGATGTGTGTACAGGCATGTGCACATGTGTTCATGTACATTTCCATTTCCCCTTATTCCTTACTCAGACAAACTTCTACTGACTGGATATTTTGCCTGAATAAGTACTGAGGAAAGCTGAAAAAGATATTCAAGAGGTTGCCAACAGATGGGCGGTGAAATCCTGAAAAATATATATCTATATAAAATACACAGGGCTTGAATTAAATTTTGTTACCTAAGGGTAACTATATTTTTCAAGGGGAATGAGTTACTTAACATTTTGCTTAACTTTTCTTGCTTTGTACTTTTAAATGTAAATAGACCAAGAACAAAATGTTCAATAGAATAGATTTTGGTGCAGTTTTGCAGATCTAGACTGCTGCAAAATTAAGTAACTGGGTAGGTTAAAAGATATGGTTGTCTCATCTCAAAAAAGATATATTGGCATTGGAAAAGATTCAGAAAAAAGGCAACAAAAATGGAGTTTGGAATGGGTGCCATATGAAGGGAAGATTAAAAAGACTGTGACTTTTCAGCTTAGAAAAGAGGAGACTAAGGGGGGATATGATAGACATTTACAAAATCATGACAGGTATGGAGAAAGTGAATAAGGAAAAGTTATTTACTTATTCCTGTAACACAAGAACTAGGGGTCACCAAATGAAATTAGTAGGTAGCAGGTTTAAAACAAACAAAAGGAAGGTTTTCTTTACTCAGCGCACAATCAACCTGTGGAACTCCTTGCCAGAAGATGTTGTGAAGACCAGGACTTTAACAGGGATTTAAGAAGAACTAGATAAAAAATATCCATCCCCCTGTGCACCATAGATACAGCAAACTAACACTGCTACAATGTGGAAATAAGTACTCCATAGACTTAAGCAAAGGTAATTCCTACAACTGGAAACCCAGTTCATCACTTATAGGCTGTCTCTCTGTTATGGACTTATGCTGGCATAGCTACAGTACCAAAGATATTCTGCTATAGTACCCATGGTGTAGACATGGCCTGTCTTGCCCAAAATCAGATAGGAAGTTTGTGACAAAGCAGGAATCAAATCCAACTTCCTAGAGTCCCAGACTAGTGCCTATTTTATACACAGGAGTGCTGGCAAGAAAATAAACTTTGTTTTCCCAAGCTCTTCTCAGCCTTTGGTCAGAGTAACAAAGTTCAATATCCCATCACAAGAACACAGGTTATTGCAACTATTATTTCCATTAACATGATGGAATGATCTCAATGGAAGTACACTACTTTTCTTTCATGCCCGCTTTCTACTTGGTTGCATAAAGTTGTACATCTAGTATATCTACCCCCTGAAGCTAGTTAAATATGATTAGACCTAAGGGCATCTAAATTCCCAGAGACAAAACCACTTATTCCACAGATGTCCTAAAATATTGTAAAGATCTATACTTTAGACCTATGTCTCTAAATTTACTTACAGAATGAATTATTAATCAATCAGTTCTTAAGCACCTGGAAGAAAATGGGGTTAAGTAATAGCCAGCATGGATTTGTCTAGAACAGATCATATCAAACCAACCTAATTTCTTTCTTTTGATAGGGTTACTAGCCTAGTGAATGGGGAAAAAGCAGCAGAACATGAAATGTGTCTTGATTTTGGTAAAGCTTTTGACACAGTATCATATGACATTCTCATAATGATACTAGAGAAATATGGACAAAATGAAATTACTATAAAGTGAGTGTCCAGCTGGGTTGAAAGATTGTCAAACTAGGGGTCTGAACATCCTAAACTCAAAACTCGGGTCATTTGAGGTATGTCTAGACTACATGGCTCTGTCGACGGAGCCATGTAGATGAGTTTACTAGACATAGGAAAATGAAGCGGCAATTTAAATAATCGCTGCTTCATTTACATCAAAATGGCCACCGCGCTATGCTGATCAGCTGTTTGGTGGAATAGCTGGGCAGTCTGGACGTGCCGTGGTCGACAAGGGAAGCCTTTGTCAACCGTGTCGCATCCAGACTGCCCCGCTGTGCTGCCAAACAGCTGATCGGCACAGCGCCGCAGCCATTTTTAAGTAAATGAAGCTGCAATTCTTTAAATCGCCACTTCATTTTCCTATGTCTAGTAAACTCATCTACATGGCTCCGTCGACAGAGCCATGTAGTCTAGACATACCCCTGAAGAAGTGGGTTGTGCCCACAAATGCTCATGATACCGTCTATATGTTTTGTTTGTCTATAAAGTACTACCAGACCATTCGTTGTTGTTTAAGTTTAAACTAGGAGGTGTACCTAGAGGGGTTTGACAGAAGTCAGTCCTGCAATATTTTTCTTAACAATGTGGATAATGGAATATGAGCTTACTTATAAAATTCAGATGCTACCCCACTGGGAGGGGTTGGAAGCACTTTGGTGGACAGTATTAAAATTCAGAATGACCTTGACAAATTGGATAATTGATCTGAATTCAACAAGAGGAAATTCAATATACACAAGTGCAAAGAACTTCACTTAAGAAGGAAAAATGAAAAGCACAATTACAAAATGGGGAATAACTGGTTTGGTGGTAGTACTACTGAAGATCTAGGGGTTTTATATTGGATCACAAATTCAATATATGTTTAAAAAAAGGGGGGGGGGATATAGCCATGAAAAAGGCTGATATTCCAGAGTACTTACAATGGAATTATCATACATAACACATGGGAGATAATTGTTCAGTGCAACTTGGCAAAGGAGAGGCCTTCACTGGGGTGTAGTGTCTGAGCACCGCACTTTAGGAAACAAGTGACCAGAGGAGGGCAACAGAAAAGATACGTTTTGAAAACCTGACATATGACAAAAGGTTAAAAAAACAAAACTTTGAGCATGTTTAATCTTGAGAAATGAAGACTGCAGGGGCATGTCACAATAGTTTTTCGCTATGCTATGGCTGTGAAATCCCCATTGCTGTAGGTTTAGGTTTAAGGACAGGTTAAATGAACACCTGTCAGAGATGGGGGAGGTTTAATTGATTATACTGCACCACAGGAGGCTGGATTCAATGATTTCTCAAAGTCCCTTCCAGCCTTCTGTTTTTATGATTCTCTATCAGAAAGGCAACTTTAAGAGTTTCCCTATTTCTGGCCAACCTTTTCTGTTCAGTGAAACCTAAGGTTGCTTAAAGATGAATAGAAGAGACTAAAAATATTTCCTAACATGATTTAGAGACTGAAATGATTAACAAGGCTCTGTAGGATGTAGGCATGGTTTTAAGAAATGTGGCTATATTAATATTTAAAAACAAAATACAGTACTGAGTTTTTAATTTGTCCTATTTACTTGCAAAGACACAAGTTCTGGTTTTTCTCCTGCAATATTTGATAAAGATCATTGAGACTTATGGCCCCATCAGAACAGGCAAAGGAGCTAAATTTATGATAGAGAATTAAAACCAGGTTCTTTTTCATTTTGCTCATTAACTGATATCAATGAGGTAGAACTAACTTAGTAGCACTTAGAACAATAAGCTTACCTATAAACCTAATGGTGACTATTTAAAAAGCAATGTTTTTTTCTTAATTGTATGGGTAATCCAATGGAAATTAATTTATGGAAATTTTCAAACTCCCCATTTCTGATTTTATTGTAAACTGGTCATTGTTGTCTGCTCAGAAAGCAGTTTTGCAGGTTTTAATGTGGCATAAGCTTTCAGTGCTGAGTCCCTAGGTTAAAATGATAATGGTGTCTTTTAGATTAGAGACAGGGAATAGTATCATGGAGAATTCATCAAAAGAAAATGCTCAATTGTTCTCGAAAACCATAATCCTTCCAATAGATGGGTCTTCAGCTAAATCTGAATCTTTCGCATCCAAGGAGAAACAAACATGCCGTGGAGGTATAAAGGTAAGGAAGAGCTCTGAATTTTACCACACACATCTTTGAATACCTTAGGTTTTGATGCTGGGTGCATTCCCTCCCTTGCCCCTATATATTTTTCATTTTCCATTCAAGCTATAGCTGTTTTAGATGGATGTAATGTATGTGCTGATTCAAATTTCCCTAACTTTGTTGGATGTTCAGATCTGGAACCCTGGTTCACACTCCTGTGTAGAATGTGTCTATATTAAAAAAATTGGCAGCCATGGTAATACAGGTTTCTAGAACTGGAAAAAAAATATTCCTACTGCTTTAAATACAGTTTGACCACTCACTGATTGAACAAACATGCATTTTGACAGGTGGTAGTATGAAGGAGAAAGCCAATAGTAATGTTTTTATTTTTTGTTCCCATCAAACTCTGAGCCTTCCCAAAATTGCTGTGCTTGAATGAGCATGCTCTCTGTAAGTTCAACTTCAGCAGCCTGCCCAAGACTTGTGATGTAGCATTTCAAGGTGATAATGTCACAACACATGTATGTTACAAAGCCAGAATGGACAAGCACTCCCTCTGGAAATCCAGCCTTGCTCAATTGGGTGGTAGAAGATTAGTTGCTTTTTTCCTGCAACTGGTCTTTTCTTGCAATCTGCATTCCAAGGACAACTTCAGAAGTCTTCTGGACTTCTGCTGGGGTGTGAGGTCATCTGAATTCACTGAGGTATGTTTGGTCACAACCTGAACCAGAACGTCTTTGTTATTACCTAATCCTTGCTTGCTCTTTGCATTTGTTATTTCTTCTGGTTTTCCATTGCACTCATCTATAGTTAATCCAATATCTCCTTAAGTCCACGTGAAGACACCTATTGACTTCAAAGAGAGTTGGATTAGATGCTGTAAATAACAACCTATAGCAGATAATTTGTTCTGTGATACCATGAGTCTGGTAATTTTGTTCTGAATAAAATGACTACTTTGATAACATAAACTCCTGGATATTCCCATTGGCCTCATCTACTGCCATAGAATATCCATTGGTGGATGAGAACTGGGCCACTGTTGTTTACAAATGGGGAAAAAAAAGTTATGCTAATTAAAGTTGCATTATACAGTACTAGCAATAAAATCATTGCCACTCTGCTTGCTCAACAATAATCTGATTCCCTCATTGAAAAAACCTTCAGTCACAGCCACTAAGGAATTGGCTTATTGCTTCCAAAATACACTAATATTATAGCTCAAACAATTAGTCCAGTTTGGTGGGTTTTGTGTATTGTTTTTTTTGGTAAGTAAACATGATTTGGGCTAAGTCTACACTACCAGGTTATTTTGAAATAATAACTCCCAAAACAACTATTTAGAAATAAGTTTATTCCTCTTCACAAGCAGGAGTTATTATCTTGAAATGACATGCTTGGTGTGTGAACGTTCTTATTTCGAAATAACTCCCCAGTGTAGACATGCCCTTATGGTGCATTCAATATCCAATGTCACCTATGATTGGAGGTGAGTTGGAGGAGAATGGAAAATCATGGGCATTTTTACATTGCCAGTGTAATTTTAGAGCATTTTGGATACCTACTGATTTCAGGTTCCCTTCTAGGTAGTTCCAAGACATGTGTGAAAAATAGCATCAATATATGTCCAAAAACGAAGAGGTTGGACATCCTGTTTTCATTATATTACCCCTGAAAATCATATTCATGTTTTTACATGACCTTGTAATATCCACAGTCATTTACACCCACACAAAGGAAAAAGACAGTTACGCATATTTGCTGGGAAAGCCCTCATGGTGGGAAATACTGTTTATAGTATTCAAAGGATGGAAAGTTTTATTTAAATTCCAGCCAGCACTGGGGAGATTTCCACAGGTAGTAGCTTCTCCTAGGAAGCAAGGCCAGTGTGACATTGGCAAATTTGGAAGCTAAATGAGAAAATTTGCATTAAGCTTTTATTTTGGTGCAATTCTACAACAAACAGACCAAATTAGGAGGGAAATATTCACATGGAGCTTTTGATTTCCCCAATCTGTGTGTCTGCACTCAGGATAGGCATCAATACATGGCATGGGGGATATTGTGGTCCTTGGTATGTGATGCTCATTGTGATGTGCATCATTGCTATGGGTTTTTCCCTATTCAAAGGAAAGCATAGCCTTCAGTAGTGAGAAAACATATGGCCTCCATCACATAAGCGCATAGTATGTGACTCTATTCTGGAGTTGGGTGCAGCTGGATGAAAATAACTAACTCTCCAAAAGAAGATGTGGGGAATCTCCATTTAACAGAAACAGTACACAGAAATCTAGTGTGTGTAAGGGCAAGGCTTACTGGTGCTATTACCTCATGGGTGGGTCTTTAGGTCATAACTCTCACTCATCTCTGGTGTCCCCAGCTGGTCATCACTCCAGTGTGGTGGTGGTCTCTCTTCTGGTACGTAGCAACATGTTCCTCTGCCCAGGTCACTACTGAAGTCTACCCCTTTCTGAGGTAACAGTGTCTAATAAAATCTAGAAGTCCAACAGTCCCCAAAAGGAAGTTTTGCCCAGATCTGGGCTCTTAAAGGCCCCATGTTTTTATTTCAGGGCTTACACTGTCTTTATCCCTCGTGCCTCTAGGAGGCAGGGGAGTTGTCACATTTGCTGCTGGTTGGTAGGGGCCCCCGGGCCTGTCCTCTCTGCAGGGTTCCCAACCAGAGCTCTGCAAGAGCCAACACCCCGGAGTGTTCAGAGGTTACCTCCCCCTGGACCGCTTCCTTCCAGTAACTTTCTCAGTTCAGGGCAATTGGAGAAGAGAGTGAGTTCAAGAACCATAAAGATCTTTAATTCAGCCCTTTTCTGCGCCATAGGAGCTATCTCTGCAGCAGCAAAGATATAAGAGAAAAACACAGATACACTTTAGTTACTAGATGGCAGGATATTTGATGGGGGAAGAGCCATTCTACAAAGGATGTTTTTCATATGAAGAATTAAAATGAAGATGGCTTGTGGATGGCGCTGGAGACTGATAAAGGGATGCAACACCTTTTACCTCATGCTCATTGGTTAACATCAAGTCCAGGTTGGGGTTATTTAAAGCCCATATTCTGCAAGTTGCTGCACAGTGGCAGACTTACCTGGCTGGGGGACGTCAGGAGAAACAGCTTTCGGGATAGGAGCATAGACATTATGTGAAATGTGGGCACCCTATGTGAAATGGTTTGCTCCTGTCAGTCTAATTCCCTAGTGAGCAAGTGTCCATGTTTTAAAAAAATAAAACAAACCAATTAAACTACTCACAGCTGATGCTAATTGCTGCTACAGGAGGCTAAATTATCCCCCTATTCCTAGAGACAGTGTTTGCTTCGTCATTTTGTTGTTCTCTGCTAGGGATAATAAAAGTATTGTCAGACCGTGAAGGAAATTTAAATGGCTCTGTCCATGAGCTGCGGATAAATAGAAGACTGTCAATCCAGCACTGTTTACAAGCACAGAGAGTGTGTGGGTGGGGGGGAGGGAGCATCACTCAATTAAAAATATTCAATACAGTTAATAATAAAATTAAGTATTTGTTCTTCTGTGGTCTTAATCACCATTAACTTCTCTCTCAGATATTTCTTGGCGCATTATCCTTTGTTTACTTCGCTAAAGCACTGTCAGGAAGTTATTTAAAAAGTACCATCACCCAGATAGAAAGAAGATTCGATATCCCTTCTTCTTTGGTTGGTGTTATTGATGGCAGCTTTGAAATTGGTATGTGGTGCTTCCATTTTTAGACAAAACTAATGCCACCATTCCCTGTGGCAAATGATCATACAAATCTCATAGGCTTACTGCGGTTAAATGAGAGTCGCCTGGCAAGAGCAAATGTGGTTTACACTTGGTGTGACAGTGATGAGACTGAGCTTAACATGACCATGATCATGTTATGGGTGAAAGTGTGGTGGTGACTGTTGCATTTCTCTAAACTAATGTGGCCAGGGATTTCATTGGCCACGGTGCAGACTACTCCTCTAGGCAGTACAGTACAGAGTTGTGGCTGACCTGATTCACCCACAATGTGGACTGAGCTACAGATGTTTCACTTATCTATGTAATTAAACAGTGGTGCCCACAAGCATACACACCTTACACAAAGTGTGTACTATTGGTTGTGGTGAGAGGGAGGAGTAGCAACACTGGCAGATGCTTCATTGCCAGCTCTGGTTTGATATCACACACACCCCTCTGTCATGATGGAGGGGCCATGGACCCAAATGTGTGCGAGTACGCTAGACAGTGGGGTGCCAGTCTCCTCTGCCTTGCTGCAACAGGAGGGGTGGGCAGAGCCTTCCTCAGGGCTTGCCACACTGGGCCTATCCAGTCTCATGCAACTTTCAGTGGCCCCATCCCCTCTCAAGTATGTGATGCTGTCTCTTGGCAAACGAGGCTGGTAGGCATGGGGCGGGAGGGGGCTGAGCTTGGCAAGGATTTGGAGACTGGAATGCAGGGGCTTGCAACTATAGCAGGGACGGCTCCACAGAAACCGACTGTGTGTATCATGACCTAGGGAAGGACACCTCTTAAGTGTTGTGATTAGGGAGCTGCAGGCGTCAGACCACACAACCAGAGACCTAGACCATGGAGGTTAACGGTTACCCTGGAAAGGGTTGGAACTGGTGTTAGTTGTAGACAGGCATCACTTTCTTGTGCAATGTTCAGCCTTCTCTTCATTGCAGTTGTCACTACGAGATCCTCTCGTGTGTAATCCAGTCACTATAGCTCTGAGACTTGGTAAACCGAGAGAATACAAAGATCAATGCCTAATGGATATGGGGCACTCCTCCACCAAGAGCTTCACCATGACATCATGTAAAGTGACCATCAAATCTTTGGACATATTTCAAAATTCTTTCAGTTTAGTGGGTTTTGGAATTTTAGTACCCCTGAGATCATTATTATTGGCTGAGGTACTCAAAGTCCTGTTGCTTGGCTGCCTCATTCCCTCCCTTTCACCCTTCCCTCCTTCCCCCCAACACACACACACCTTGGCATTCTGCCTCTCATTCCAGTGACTGGCAGCTGACTAGGACCTTGTTTCCAGCTGCTTTTAAATGTGCCCATGTTCTTCCTAGCTATAACCCTCAATGCTTTCACACACATTTGGAAACCAGAAGGAAACCCATTGCCATGTAAGCAGCCATCTGTCTGTGGACCCCCCAACAAGCACTAAATAAGCCGTGTTTTGGGAGCGACTAGTTCAGTGCATAGTTCTCTTATTAATGTATTGCAAATCCAAGTTATTCTTTTGTATTTTTCAAAGGTAATCTCCTAATCATAATTCTTGTAAGCTACTTTGGAGCAAAACTTCATAGGCCAAAGATAATTGGAGTTGGTTGCCTAATAATGTCAGCTGGAACATTTTTGATTGCGATGCCCCAATTCTTTATGGGACGGTAAGTGTAAAGCAATCTGTTCTTTCGATTCAGAAAGAAATGCACTAGCACAGAACTTACTTTTTGCCCATGGACATTATGTATGCACCCATTTAAACAAATAAACATTGATTGTGGAAGTGCTGGTGGGAACAGAGAGTAATATGATTGCTATTAATTATGTATTACAAAAATATTGTTTATTGTTATCGTTGAGCAAATAAAAGTAACATTTTCTCATCAATATCCACTAAAATTTGAAACTCCTTTATGATTAGCTAATGTTTGTCAGGACTTTGCAGGCATGAGCTAAAGTCTATCAGTGTCCTCCGTGATAAAATGATGAATAAAAATAGAAAATAGTGAGTGAGAGAGAAGTATGCAAGACCCAGATAATATTCCTACTATTCTGTATTCTACACTAGTCCAGATTTGGGGCTTAGAGTTTTCAGTGAAATTTTTTGTGGTACTATATTGTAAAGGGATGAGTAAAGAAAATGTTTATTTTATCACAGATATAGGTATGAAATATTTTCTTCCTCTACCAACTCCACTGTCAGCAACTCCCCATGTCTACAGGATAAAAGTCAAATACCACTCTCAGTCTTAGAAAGACCTCAAGCCAAAGTAAATGCAGGTAAGAAAATTCCATTTTTTAACAAAATGGTGCATGTATGTAGGTGGGGCTGGTAGCTCTGGCTATTATGAAGGTTGCCCAATATTTCACATTCTAAGATCTTATTTTCAGTTACCAAACTTTAACCATTTAGGCTGAAATTTTCCAGGCTGTATCTCTGTGTCTGGAGAAAATGTGGCCATACGTTTTCAGACAGTTCAGAGAACAATCACAACTCCTATTGACCTCAGTTGCAGCTATGAGAATGCAACACTACTGCAGCTCTAACCCAGGGTCTCAGAGAAAATTAGAAACCCAGAGTCCATCATTATAAGTAAAAATTCTCATATAGGTGACTTGCCCAGCATCACATCAGAGTTGTGAACGCTGTAGCAGATGCAGGTATAGCATCTAGTTCTCCAGATCAGCATTTAACTATTATAACAATGCCGCTTCTTCTCTTCCCCTTTTTTCCTCTTCTCGCTCTGTGTATTGCCTGACTCATTTACTATGTGCCTTTCTGCTTCTGCAACAAATGAAGCAAGGGTCCCACAGACAACAGCCTCTTTCATTGCACAATCCTGATTAATCCCCAGAATAGCTTCGTCTTTTATAAGAGGCAAGAGGAGGCAATACTTTCCCTGGGTCTTGGTGCTTAACCTCTTTCCTCTTCCTAACCCTTTTCTGACTGTTCCTGAAGGCTCCCACAACAGGCTGTTGCAGACTGCTGGTGACATTTCCTCTAAAAAGTGGATCTGTTAACTTAAATGCAAAAAGCCTTCCAGCTTGCCAGACCTGTTAAAATAACATTGAGCCTGTGAGTGAGTCATTAAGTGGCAATGAAGCCATTTAACAGGCATTTGCCAACCCTGGCTAACAGACTTTAATTTGTTGCTGAAGATAAAATCACATCTCTTTAAAAAAAAAAAAAACTTGCATAGATTTACAGATGCACAATCTGAGTATTTAGCTTTAACCTTAAATGCCTGCATCTTAAATCATATAGTTTCTAAAATAAATTCTTCAAAAGACCACTCTTATCTAAAACACACACGTCACTTTTAATCACTATAGCACAAAAACTTGCTTCCAAAGCCTTCCTGTCTTTTTAATCCATCCCCTACTCTGTTTTCAACCCTCCCTTGAAGAAAGCCCTTAAAGGGATGACATTCCTTTCCTTCAGGATAGTTGGACAAATGAGTTTTTCTCTTTCTTTACTTCTGATTATTTGATGAATTAGTTTTAAGAGGAACCTCAACCAAAATTAATATGTTTCTGAGATAATACCTTTGTTATGCCTAAAATCTTTGGAAGCATATTTTTAACTTAAACATACGGTGAAATTTTATAAACATGTCTATTGTTATGAAGATTGCACAAAATAAATTAGTGTTCCCTTTTTCTAAAAGCAATGAACTTTGTTATAAACACACTAAACTGCTTTGACTGATTATTTTAAATTAATGTAATTGTTTCGGTGAGTTTAAATATGTGGTAATCTGGAATTATTACTTTATTAAGGCTTAAGAGTATATTTAAAATATAAAATCAGCTTACAAATACTGATGAAGAAAATGTAAAACACAGAAGGGCTGTATCATGTATTCCATAACATATAATGTTGTATTCATCAGGACAACTGACTTGCCAAATTTTTGCAAATAAATCTCTAACAATCTTCAGGATATATTTTAAAAAAAAAAAAACAAAACCCTGTGACTCACTGTTTTATTCCCAAATTTAGTGCCTTTTAATTAGGTACTTTCTGCAAGTCAAGTTTTCACAATCTGGCATGCAGTGGAAGACATGCTCCATTTTCTTTTAGAAAGACATTTTAGAAGAGTGGTGTTTTTTCAAATGTCATTTCCTGCATTTGGGTTCAGGGATTTGGCTAGAAGGGAGTGAGCAGAGAGGGAGAGGTAAGAGAAGAGGGAGACAGAAGGGAGGGGATGAGCGGGGCCATGCTCTGGAGCTTGCCTCCTCAAACAGCAGCTTCCCCTACTGCTCATGTTGCCACACACTGAACAACAGGGAGAAAACAAAATGGAATAGCTCAGGGGTGGCCAACCCGAGGCTTGCGAGCTGCATGCGGCTCGTGAAGAAAAAAATTGCGGCTACTGACGGAACCAGGACAGAACCCGGAACTGCTCAGGTCAGCTGCTCTCACAACCAGGCCTCTATGAGCTGCAAGCGTGCTCACGGCCTGCGCTGTTCCGCTCACAGCCCCCAGCACATATCCTGCATGTGCAGGCTGGGTTGCACACAGCGTCCCAGCCTGCAAGTGCTAGCAGCCGGCTGCTGCGTGCAGGCAGCAGGTACAGCAGTGGCTCCGGGACCTGGGCATAAGGTTGGGAGGGAGATGCCTGGCTCTGGAGAAGGGAAGGGGAGGGGAGGAGGATCGGGTGAAGTGTGTGTGGGGGGGGGTGAGCACGGCATCCCGGATGCAGCACAGTGGCTCTGGCTCTGGGACCAGAGCATAAGGTTGAGAGAGCGGGGAATTGGATTACAGCAGGGAGGGGAGGTGTCTGGCTCTTGGGAAGGGAAGGGGGATTGGGTTGCTCATGGTGTCCCGGCCAGCTCATGCTCAAAGCCGGCCACTCAGTGCACGTGCCCCAGCACCTGGAGGGAGACACGCGGCCATGGTGGCGGCAGTGACTCTGGGACCCAAGAATTAGGTTAAAGTGGGAGGAGGGGGATTGTGTTAGGGTGTGTGTGTGCCTGGCTTTGGGGAAGGAGGGGGAGAGGGGGATTGGGTTGGGGGGGGTTGCTGACTGCTTCTACCAGTGACATTGGTATGAGTCCATCATCTTAGGATCCCCTTCTCTGAACTATTCCAGCTTTAATCTTTTCAGCTTATTCAGAAAGCCATTTAGCAAATGCTTAAATTCATCCTTATTGTGGAAAAACTAAAAAAACAACAAATAGACTAGTAGCACCTTAAAGACTAACAAAACATGTAGATGGTACTTTCGTGGGAACAACCCACTTCTTCAGATGACAGGAGTAGTAGAAGTCGAGATTCAAGAATAAATAAGGGGCGGGGGGAGGGAGCAGGGAGAGGGGTGCCTGGCTCTGGGGAAGGGAAGGGGACTGGGTTAGAGCAAGCTGCTCTTCCCCTCCCCTAAACAGCTGCCACACTTCCTGAAATGCCATGTCTGTTGCACCACTGGGGATTTTTCCCCCTGCTGCTTCCCTTCATTGGGGGGGGGGGGGGAGGAATCCTGAGACTGCATGCCAGTTCCAACTTCTCAGGAAGCACGCAGCTGTCGTGGGGAGTAGAGGAAGAGCACGCTGGGACACACACACACACCCCCCCGCAGGCAGCAGGGGGGAAGGAAGTTCCCGGCGGAGCAACAAACCGGGCATTTCAGGAAGCTCACCAGCTGTTTAGGGGAAGGGAAGAGCAGCCTCACAGCAGGACTATGCACCTAGATCATTTCTGATAGAAGTCCACCTAACCTGCTCTTAAATATCTCCAAGTATGGAATTTCCACAATCTCCCTATGCAATTTATTCCAGTGTTTAATCACCATGACACTTTGGACATTAGAAAAAAATGTCCTACCTAAACCTCCCTAGCTGCAATTTAAGTGAATTGTTTCTTGTGCTTTCATCAGAGATCAAGGAGAAGATTTTTTCAATCACTCCTTGTAACACCCTTTTAAATACCTGAAAACCGCTATCATGTCCCCTCTCAGTCTTCTCTTTTCTAAACTAAACAAACCCTGTTCTTTCAGCCTTCCCTCATAGGTCGTGTTTTCTAGGCCTTTAATCATTTTTATTGCTCTCCTCAGGGCCCCAAAAAATTGTATTGGTCCAAAGAAACCCTGGTCTTCGCCACTGCATTTTCACCATTCAGGAACTGAAATAACTTGTCACCAGTGTGGTACTGAGGAAAATACAGATTTAAAAGCCAATAGGAACTCTACTGATGTTTGCCTGAATGACTTGAAAAGAACTGAAGCGCCATTCAAATCCCTTTTACCTCAGCGCAGAATTTTAGCCATTTGAATGAAATGCACTAGGTGTGTACCATAGCACAGGCACCGATCTCGTTTGAAATTCCATTCCACCAAAACTCTTGGGAGTGTTGTTTTGTCATTGCAAGAAATCTGTGGGCTTAGTTCTCTCCTCCCTCCCCCAGGTGCCAACTGGAAATGCACCCATACAGCTGAGAGCAGAACTGAGTCCTGTGTATAGAACGTCAAAAGGTCACACACCGTGTCTTGTTTTACTCTCTTTATCTCTGACTTTTTGTATCCAGGATGTGAAAAAGAAGTTGGATCGTCCATGTGGATCTATGTTTTGCTCGGAAATCTTTTGCGTGGGATAGGGGAGACACCTATTCAACCTTTGGGAATTACATATATTGATGATTATGCCAGTGAAGAGAGTGCTGCTTTCTATATTGGTAAAAAAAAAAAAATAATCCAATTACTGTAGCCTTATTTTTCACAAGAAGTAAATTGAGTTATTTTCAGTAACAGAACCTGGTGCTACAATTGACAGGTACATCTTTTGCTTTTTTATATATCTTGCCCTCTGTTATTTCCACTCCATTTCATCTGATGAAGTGGGTTTTACTAATGAAAACTCATGATTCTGTATATTTGGGTTAGTTTCTAAGGTGCCACAGGATTACTTGTTTTTAAAGGTGCTACACAACTACCCCACTGAGATTTATTACATTTAATTGTCCTGATTATTTGCTTGCATGTTTTAACATTTTCAAGGTTTTATTTAAAAGTCCTCTGCATTTTAGGGGCCAAATTCCACCCTTCACTATACTGATGTGATTCCATTATCTTAACTGAGAAAATTTGGCATCAGGTTCCTGGTGCTACCTTCCTCTTACTAAATCTTCTGAATTTGGATTAGTGGATTCCACACTCAGTTCGTCAGATGGGAGTAGAAATGAATTCAGCATACATTTATTTGGTGGTTAACATGGAGTTTATGTCACTATGTTGCGTGTGTGACCATCCTTGTATGTTAAACTGAAATGCTATCAGGAAGGTTTTTACCAGTAGACGCTTTTTGAAATATTTCTAGCCTGGCTAGAAGAAAGAACTACCAGAAATTTTGTCCACAAATTTGTTTTTGCCAGATCCATTTTGAAAACTCAAAAGATGTGTGGGAATTACATAAGACCATCCTAAAACTTTGGAACAGTTGGGCATTAATCCAGTGTTTAATCTTTTCAATCTATTTGAGGTTTGTCCGTCACTAGTAAAATATGTTGGTTATTGTACACACATTTTCTGACCACCTTGCAACCCTGTTAGTGGCACTCTCGAATTCACATCACAAACATCCATGAGATCGCTTTTTCCAGGTTGAAATTGGTCTGATAATTGGGTGGCTGCATAAAACAAAAGTGAAATTTTATGCCATGAACCAATTTTTGCTTTTTGATACAATGGTGCTGGTCTGGAGTAATTCCATTATCTGGGAAGAAGAATGAGATATTATTTTGGATTTGCACTGCACCAATGTGTGAGAAGGAAGAATTTGGTCCTGTATTTTATGATACTGGTCACTTTTTCCTCATACATTGCCATGCTCTGTTGTTGTGTGCAGAACAACAACAAAAATATGGCAGAAAAAATAACCGTTTCTTCTGTGTGTGGGTTGCTTTTTGTTTTGTTTTGTTTTTGCAGGTTGTGTGCAGACAGCTGCCATTATAGGCCCAATATTTGGATTTCTTTTAGGATCCCTCTGTGCCAAACTATATGTTGACTTGGGCTTTGTAGACTTGGGTAAGTCAGAAAAATCATTTAAAAAAATTGTCTACTCCCTGTATGTTGACCATCCTTAAGTAGAATCTTTTAGTGACTATTTAGAATTCCATGCCCTGACCTTATTGGTACAGAGGTGAAACAGCCATGCATCAATAGCCATTTGTTGTTGCTGTATTTTAGAAACTGATTCCACTGATAAGTTGATGATTCTCTTCTCAGTGGGACTGATCTAGTGAACTTCCAAACATTTGTCCCTTTAATGTTATTGACTTAATAGGAAGTTGCTTAGCATCTGTCATGAACAGGATTACAGTTTGAATATGAAACATTGATAAAAACGTGGCAAAATGCTAGATGGGTTGGTTTTCGTGTCCCTGCTGGAGACTCTTCTGTGCTGTAAATGCTGATTACATTTAACCCAAATCACAAAAGATCCAGAAATATGATAACTCAAAAGAGAAACTCCTAGTCTCCGTGGGAGATGTATCTGGCAGCATCATGATTATGTGCCTCAATGGCAAACTTTCCAACCACTTCAGGAACAGCGTCGATACTTTCAAAAGGGGGATGTGTACTCCACAGCTCTCAGAAAAGTATTGGGTAGGAGTGGGCATGGTGGTTATTATGGAAAAGGAATCGGAGGTAGGGGAACTCTATTGAAGAAATTAGAATCTCTGCTGAAAACATACCCTCCAAAATGTGCTTTGTTCTTGACAAGCTTTCACTAAATATGCAAATGTGTCCCTCTTTTTCCCTCCCCGTCCCACAGACAGTGTAACAATAACTCACAATGATGCCCGATGGGTAGGAGCTTGGTGGCTTGGTTATTTAATAGCAGGTGTGTTAAGTGTTCTGGCTGCCCTCCCATTCTGGTTCTTACCAAAGCACCTGCCAAGACCAGAAAGCAGAAAGGATTCCAGTACCTCCTCTGAGCAGTCAAAGTTCATTATTGAAGATAACAGGGAGCATCACAGACCATATGAACAGCAAGTAAAGATCATTGAAATGGCTAAAGGCAAGTAACCACAGTTTGTTTAATAACTATTTAGTTGTATACTTCTACCTTTCGGATTTGATCTCTTTCAAGGCCTCAGAGTGGATATTGGTCTAGTGGCACCATAAGATTAGCAGTGCGAACAAAAAGGGCTCTCTCTTTGATTCCCAGACCTCATTTTGTACGGCACAGTTTCTCCAACTGGGCTTGTAATCCAGAAGAGTTCCTGAGGCTGAAGGGAGAGAATGTGCAAAAAGGCTGAGTCTTTCCCTGTAAAAGTTATATGTTTAAACAAAGCCAAGAGAAAGCAGACCTATAAACTCCCCCATAGAAAAAAAAATACATAAAATTTGCAAACCCCTGCAGTAAAATCTCTAGGTTGATTATAAGCACCATATTCAGAAAAAACAAATGGGAAAATATTGGCTTCTATTTATGTGAGCACGTGCATGCTAACCAAAATGTTGACTTGTGTATTCTGGTAGGAAAAGCCAACATTATGGGCATCTGTTTACATGGGACCATGACATGAAATATTTTATTTACAAAGACCAAGCCATCCTATTTCAGTTTAACGAATGCCCTTTTCTCTAATTTAGAGGAATTTATGTCAGCAAGTATTTTGGACCAAAGCTAAATAAACATTACAGCATTCTGGCTACCTAGCAATCGAAGAATTATGGTTGTTCTTTAATTAATGAATGCATGCAACAGTCATGTGCTTAAGGTTCCATGTGCATATAATGTTCCACTCATGTACATTAAGGTCAAGGATATAATAAACTTTGGCCAAAGCCTTTATTATATCCCTCTCTCTGTGAAAGGCAGGAGAAAAAGGTGGGAGATGGCAAAACTAATGGGGCCCTGAAATAGTTCAGTAATTTTTTTTCATTGGCCATGCCAATCTTCTACTGGAAATATAAAAATATCATAGTAAAAGCTGTTTGTGTGGTATTTCCAATGTGCCTCAAGGGAGGACATAAAGATGGCTACACTGAGTCAGACCAATGGTCCATTTAGTGAAATATCCTGTCTTCTGACTGTGGCTAGTGCTAGATGCTTCATAGGAAATGAACAGAACAGGCAGTCATCTAATGAACCAACCAACCCCTGTTGTCCACTTCTGGCAGATAGAGAGGCAAGGGACACACAGAGCACAGGGTTGCATCCCTGACCATCTTAGTTAATAGCCATTGAAAGACCTATCTTCTATGAAAATACCTTGCTCTTTTCTGAACCCGGGTATAGTTTTGGCCTTTTTTATTCTATCCAGTTAGTCTACATGAACTTAGTTTAAAATTTGTTTAAAAAATATTTAATTAGTGTGTTGCTGAAAATTATAATATCACATCTCTAAAAAATTGCCCCTCCCTGCCACCATCAGGCATAAAGGCATCAGTTTAATACCACTGTGTAGGAGCCCATAAATCCTAAACATAACTCTGTTTGGATGACTCGCTTATTTTGGTGTTCAACTTTTGACAACTAAAGGCCTAATTTTTTCATGTTCAACCAGCTTCCCACTACATGGGTCAAACTGTCTGCTCAACTGTTGAGGCATCCAAAAGTAGAGACCACATTTAGAATTCTAAAGCAAATGAAAAACAAGTTAGAACACGTGGGATTAGAATCCCGATCTTGTGATTTCTCAACCAATGCTTTAAACTAGACTGTGCCCCATATCTACTTTGATAAAGTAAGGTATAAAATTTAGAAATTGATGAATTGTAAAAGGCAGAGAAATTTGGATAAGCTTCAGTTTACTGTGTGTAGAAACAGCTTCCACAGACTCTCACTCTTTGACACACACATCTGTGAAGGCAATATTTTCAGATAAAAACTTCACAATACCTTGATTTCCAGTTCTTACTGATAAAGTTAATTGTTAATTTAAATATAAGAAGTCAACAGGACCAGATGGTGTTCACATAAGAGTTCTAAAGGAACTCAAACATGAAATTGCAGAACTACTAAGTGTGGCACGTTGCATACAATTTAAATCAGCTTCTGTACTCAATGACTGGATGATGAGTAATATATCAATTTTTATAAAAGGCTCCAGAAGTGATCCTGGCAATTACAGGCCAATAAGCCTAACTTCAGTACCACGCAAATTGGTTGAAACCATAGTAAAAAACAGAATTGTCAGACACAGATTAACACAATTTTGGGGGAAGAGTCAACTTGGCTTCTGTAATGGGAAATCATGCCTCATCAATCTCTTTTAATTTTTTGAGGGGGTCAACAAGCAAAAATATAAATGCGATCCTTTAGTTGAACTGTGCTTAGACTGTCAGAAAGCCTTTGACAAGATTCCTCACCAAAGGTTCTTAAGCTAAAGCATCCATGAAATAAAGTACAAAGCAGACTGTCAAAAATTAAAATGGGTGTCTGGGAAACAAAATGGCAGATGAACACAAAATAATGCACTTTGGAAAATATAATCCCATTGTACATACAAAACAATCAGCTATATCAGCTGTTAATGCTCAAGAAAGATCTTGAAGTTATGGTGGATAGTTCCCTGCAAACATCTGTTCAATATGCAATAGCTGTCACAAAAGATAGCAGAATGTTCAGAACTATTAGGAAAAGAATAGACAGCAACACAGAAAATATCATGATTCTACATACTACATGGTACACTGATACCTCGAAAGCTGCACAGTTTTGGTCACCCTATCTCAAAATATATATTAGAACTGTAAAAGGTACAGAGAAGGCAACACAAATTATTATGGGTAATGGAACAATTTATGTATAAGGAGAGGCTGAGACTTTGCATCTTAGAAGAGAGACAACTAAGGGGGGGATATGATGATGGTCTATAAAATCATGAATGGTGTGAAGAAAGTGAATAAGGAAATGTTATTTGCTCCTTCACATAACACAGCCATTAGGGGTCACCGAATGAAATTAATAGGCAGCAGGTTTAAAACAAACAAAAAATATTCTTATGTATATTCAGAAACTGACAGGATATACCTGGGGTTGGCAAATACCTGTTAAATGACTTCATTAGCACTTAAATGGCTCTTTCACAGGTACAATGTCTGCTCATAGGTCTGGCAGGCTTTTTCACTTTTAAGTTAACTTGAACCTCTTCAGAGGAAGCAGAGCCATAGAGCAGAGATAGGAAGAGGTGAGTGAGTGGACATTTACACTCAATGGTGCTCTAGATTTTCAGGTGCCCTATGCAGCTGCATATTCTGCATATGGTAAGGGCAGACCTGCACTCAAAACAAGATGCCATTTTTGAAAGTTTGACACTTACCTAGGTTGTTCCTTACTTCCCCCCCACCTGTAAAACAGGGATCACACCCATCTCCCAGAAACGCTTATTGCACTGACTTCATTAATCTTCTTAAGCATTTTGTGGTCCTTGATGGGAAGGTGATATTGAATTATAAAATAGCATTTTTCCAATTTCCTTTTCATTAACTTACAGCATTTTGGTTTGCAGATTTCCTGCCATCAGTGAAGAACCTCTTTGGAAATCCAGTTTACTTTCTATATTTGTGTGCAAGCATCATTCAGTTCAATTCTTTAATTGGCATGGTAACATATAAACCAAAATATATTGAGCAACAGTATGGGCAATCTCCTTCAAAAACGAATTTTGTGATAGGTATGTTAAGTCAACTTCTTGGGGCCGTAAAATAAAAAAACCTCTAGGATTGCAGACTGTGGATAGAAACAGGCCAAAAAATGCTTTTAAAGACTGCACTTTCTGTTTTCCTTGCCAAATATTTAAATACCAGATGCTGAACGTGAATCTGTTTCATCATTGGGTTTAGTACTTTAAGTCTGATTTTAAGTTTGTGAGAACTGTTGCAAGGGATTGTTGAAGTTGCTGGTTTACTTACCTTTCTTTCAGAAAATATAAAAGAAATATCAGGAAATCACAAGAAAATAATTTAAATCGGAAATTAATTTATGGAAAGTATTTTAAAATTTACATTTATAGGAGGAATTGCGCACTACCTATTCCAATACAATGAGCATCAATTCAGTAAACAGAAGGAGGTAAAGAAAACCAGCTGGGCTTCATATTTGCCTCCTGTAAAATACATGAAGTTTGTAGTTATTTGCATGTGAGAAAATGGTGAAAAGAAAAGAATAAGTGATGTTTAAGTGAGCTCCAATGACATGACTCCGCATACAGGCAGCAAGTCCCTCATTTGTCCTACTCGTTCTTATTGTAAAACACCTCTTCCTGGTGCCTTCCTGTTGATTTTTGCTATGTTACAGATCCCCAGTTCCAGTTCACACCTTTCTGCTGATTTATCCTTCCTCATTCCCAGGCTGCATCAATGTGAATACTCGCTAAGACTTAGGTGCATGTTCCCACCTTGACCTATGCAGACCCTGGACCTTGCAGAGACTCATTACTGGGACTGAGGCAGCACTGTCCCTGTTCACACAGAAAGGAGTATATCCACCAGAAAATATACCTTTCATTCACTGATGGAGTGAAGACAATTCCTGATTAGTTCATTATATTTCACTTGTTACCCATGAGCTTGTCGTGAAACAAGTACACCAGCTGTAATTCTCTAGATACTTGGTTCTGCTCTTGTATGGATTTTGGAGACAAGTCTTCATGTACTTTCTAAACTTCATAATTATTGTATTAACATTGGGTTGAACTAGGAGTGTAATACGGTATAATATCAAAGTACTGAGTCATGGTTAAATTTGGATGCACCTGAAATGCTGCTGTGATTTTTTTTTTCCTCTGTAAAGCAGCCATTACCATGCAAATTCTTGGTCAAGATCTACTTCTAATATAATGTCTATATAAGAGTGCATCCACCTAATATCACCTAGATCAAAATCTGTGTTAACACATCTGGTGCTGTGTGATTTCCTTAGAGAATCTGGGAGCTGACCTAATTTTTTTCTCTCCCTTTGAACTAGATATTTTTCAAATAATAGAAGTCCTGACACCCAAAATTGTGGACTGCTTTATAATCAAGTTTGCATGTGTGTGTTTGAAGTATACATCAGAATGCCTCAGCTCAATGAAAGAATGTAATGACAAAGGCTGTCCTTTCTTGACACTATCTTTAGGATGGTGCATCTCCAGCTGGCCATTTAGTGAAGCCAGAGATTTGAATTAAACTACTGAGTTTCAGTATCTCATCCGTATTAGACAACAAAAAGATTTTCATCTGCCTAATGCAGACAAGACTGTCTTCATTTTATGGCTCTCAAGACAGCATTGGCTGCACAGCAGCAGAGGCATACGTATGCAGGAAAGCCATAGTGATCCATTGAGCTATGTTAATTCCTTAAAGATAGACATAGGAATTTCCTGGCATAAGACCCATAGAAATGTAGGCAAGTAAAGGTGGTGTCCAGAAAAGTATTCAAAACAGTACACATATGCAATACAGTACTTAGCATTGTATTTAACGATTTTCCAAGTACTAAGCTTTCAAGCTGTGTGATATGATTTAGGATTAATACCACTCTGATTTCATAAAACACGGGAACAAAGCTTGGCAAAGGTGTCTTCTGGTAATGTCCTATTATAATTTTTACAGCGTTTCATATTTTACATTATGCAAACAAAATTTATCATGGACTGGGGTCCATAGGCATTGCAGAAATTGAAATATAATAATAAATAACAACAACTACGAGTAGCCACTAACACTTTTATATCAAATGGAATGTAAAAGGCTACTGAAACCTTAAGTTAACTGTCTGTACTGTGTTCTATTTGGCCTGATGATTTTGCACCATAAATTAATCAATTTTCAAGAAAATGATCAGCAGTGACTAGCAGATGCCGTATAATGTTAATATTAAAGTTGTAGCTGTCAATCGGGTGAGGGTATTGTCATTTGGGCAGTTGTCAAATGTTCATTTTGTGGGCTCCCTGCCCAAAAGTGGCTGGTTATAGCAGTCCTCCTAATTCAAGCTTAGGTGTATAATGATTTTGCTTATGTGTTTATAGGACTTATCAACGTTCCTGCTGTGGCCTTTGGGATATTCTCAGGAGGACTGATCATGAAAAAATTCAGGATTAATGTTGTGGGGGCAGCAAAGCTGTCCTTAGGATCATCGTTCTTTGGTTATCTCTTGCTACTTTCATTATTTGCACTGGGCTGTGAAAACTCAGATGTGGCAGGACTGACTGTGTCTTATCAAGGGTATGTTGAAAAGGACAACCTGGAGTACAAAGTTCTATTTCAAAGCAAACTGCTTCCTCAAACAGATCTACACATTCCATGAATATACTTACCCAGGGACATGATCCAAAGCAACCAAAATCTTTCCATTGATTTCATGGGAGTTGGATCCTTCTGTAATTGTTTTTAGCTCTCAGGCACTTATTTTTCTCTCTGCAGGTTATACCTGAGTAGACGAATAGAAATTCATGGCCTTTCCTGTGAGTTCTCTGATTGAGGAAAGAATGCTAGTGGTCCCACCCCCTTTTAATTCACGGATCTTTGGAGAGATGAACAGCTGAACAAGCCAAGAGGCTTCCATATTAGTGTTTTATGCCTCCATATGTTGTCGAATGTCCCTGGCCTCTCTAATATCTTCTAGACACGGCTACTGTAGAGATCCCCCTAGAAGGATGACTATAGAAATCCCAACAAGATGGAGATTTTGACTGAAGAGGGTGAAATACAGTGTAAGTTACTCAACACTGAGTGAAATCCTGACCGCCTACTGAAGTAAATGGAAATTTTGCCACTGACTTCAGTTGGGCCAAGATATCACACTCTATCTGCAGTAATTTATACCAGTTCCCCCAACAAGTTTTGGTAGAAAAATCCAGCAGTGCTGATTCCCCATTCCAGTGATCCCTCTATGATGCAAAGATGGAAAGGCTCAGTACAGTATGTGGATGCATCTTTTCACACTGCTGCAGCCAAAATCTGCAGGCACAAGCTTTCTTATGCTTGCAGGAGAAAAGATGTCCCTACTGGGCTTTCTGGATGGACATTCTGCACTTGCTTCTGCGGGGATCCTCGCATTGAAGTCCAAGGGTCTGTAGACTGAGTGGCTACATGGTCATGTCCTCAACTTAGATCAATCCATCTATGATCACTTTCTCACCTCTTTTTCAATAACTTTTTTGGTACGGATAATTTTTCCCTTTGTCATCAAAGTGAACGATGTTCTGAATTTGGGTCCAATTTTATTTGATTACACTGTGCCCCAGATGCCAAAGATCAATATTATAGAAAATAGAAACAATACATCAATAGATACACATTGTTAAAACAATAGTGAAGGTTGACTCTTTAAAGTACCATATTTTAATAGGCATGACATATTGTAAAATACTGTTTGATACCTGTGAGGAAACTTTTATAAAGGGAAGTGGAAAGACCTCTCCATAGACTAAAGATCTACAGTTGGGTGTATCTGTCTGAAAAGAGAGCCCATGGTTTCAAGACCTTTCTGTTTAAAGCTGCTGAAAAACAGCATTTCATTTTGTTCTATGTTTTGTTTAAATCAGAACCAAACAGATCTCTAGCTTTGAGCAAGCCCTCTTTTCTGAGTGCAATGCAGGATGCGTATGTTCAAAAAACGAATGGGATCCTATATGTGGGGAAAATGGAATCACCTATGTATCGGCTTGCCTTGCTGGTTGTAAAACATCCAATGGAAGCGGGAAAATCACTGTAAGAAACTTCTCTATTATCATTCATGATGCCTTGGGGAATCCTAGCATAGCTAGTTCTGTTAAGGGCAGTGAATTGCAATTCTTTTAAAAGTAGGGATCCATGAATTTCCTTAGGTTCCTTGTTTGCTGGCAATGTGTTACAATGTTTTGTTTTCAAAGAAAATGTTCTGCTTTTCATAAAATGAAAACATGAAAATTGAATATGTAATGGTGTTTGACAAAAATGGTTTCTAGTTATGAAAGCCATTAGCAGTTTGGTTGGTTGGTTTTTTTAACCCTGCAATATTTTGTCAATAATAAACTTTTTCTTGAAAAATTCTGTTTCAAGAAAAAAGACTTGTTAAAACTTTTCAAGGGAGAATTTTTTGCCAACTCTAATTTTGGACTGCAAAAGGAGATTTTGACTGTCCAGGGTCAGGAAAAATACACAATACCCAATATTTTAACATTTTAGGTTATCATTTTCCCCTTACTCATCTGCTATACATAGCATATTTAAATAAAAGCACATGCTGTCACTTGCTATATTTCAGGAGTTTTATAACTGCAGCTGTGTGGGAATTACAGCATCTCCATCAAGAAGCTCATCAGCAGTGATGGGAACATGTCAAAAAGGAAATGAATGTCCAAAAATGTTTCTGTATTTTCTGGTAATATCAGTCATCACTTCCTATACATTGTCAATAGGCGGTACACCTGGATACATATTACTTCTAAGGTAAATAGTGATAATTCCTTTTTTCTATTGGCAATTATTTTCACGGTGATTCGGTATTAAAATCCATTTCATGTCTTCCTTCATAATACTGGGTGCCCTTTTCAACAACTAGTCTGAAAGGAAGTGGAAAGAGGATTTCAGAAGGTTTTTTCACCATTAAAAAGGACCCTGACAAAAATGTGCATAGCAGTAAAAATGCTACCAGTTAAGCTACATTTTGCTTTATATCTCAGTTTATCATCAGCCTACTTATACTCACTTTTCTATAAAAATAATCTGGGTCTAATTCTTCTTTACAACAAGATGACTTCTTATTGCTCTGGTAATGGAAACTTACATAACTTTAAATGCCCTTTAAACTAACCTGCCAGAACGGTGGCAAATTATCTTAGTTTACATGAGAATTAGGCCTTATGTGTATGCATAGTTAGTCAAATGTTCATGGGTACTGAATATCACAAATGCCGCTGATTTAAGTGTGTATGTGCAGGCCTGCCAATGAGGAACTGGGGGGAAGGAGTTGCTCTCGCCAACTCTAACATGAAAATATGGTTCTGGTACATAGTGGAAAAATGAGATGCTTGCCAAGATACATGCTCATCTGAAAACTAAGGAAATTTGAAATGCAAATGTGGCATATGAATGCAGAAACTAAATCCCTATAAATCTTTAAGATTTAGTGACATTTGCTTCAAGGGTTTACAAGATTACAATTAGTGAAATGGGCTTATGCCCAGTGACTGATTCATTTGGTATTAGGCTAATTGCAATTGCCAAAGTACTTTAGAAACTATTGAATATATGTGACATAAATGAAATGCAGACAGGAATAATTTAAGTAAGTTATTAATAGAGTGAAGAAGTCATCCTAAGTCCTCTCTTAATGGACAGGCTTTCAGAGCATGGGAAATATAGAGGAATTCATATACTAGATAAATAAATGTTCTGATGAAATTTTCAATCAAATTGGGGCAACTCCTTAATGTAAGGAATAATTTAAATAAAGGAGAAATGTAAGAACAAAGAAGCAGATTTCAGATATCAAATTTCTTTTTATGGTTTCCAGAATCTGAATGTATTAATTTTACTGGTAGATGGGGGTTTAGTCACTATTTCTTTTTTGAACCTTTATGTTCTCATTTACACCAGTACAAAGTGAATATACGAACATGAGACTGTTCTGATCCGTTATTGTTACACCTACTTTTGCACTGTGTAAATGAGTGCACGAGGGCAGAACATTAGAGAATCAGGCCTATAAATGTAGTGGCTAAGACATTCTTTTGACTTTGGATACTCCTCAGCCATGTTTTCGATGCAGGCCTCTCGGGTATTTGAGGGTTGGTTAAATAAATGGAGGTCTCTTACACAGGCCTGCCAACAGGGGACAGAGGGATGGGCTGTTGCTCCGGCGATTCAAAGGAGTCCGTGGTTCTGGCCGCTGCCGCAGTAACAGCAACAGCCATTGGAGCCTTGGGTCGTTTAAATTGCTGCTGGAACACCATGCAGTGTGCTCCATGTAGCTCTGAGGTCTGGGATGAGGGGCATAGCACTATGGTCCAACCCTGCCCCTTCAGGAGGTACAAGGGCACCCCTTCCTCCCCCCCCACACACACACCCCTTTTCCAAGGGCCTGCAGATGCTGTTGGCTCCCTTGCATTTACACTAAGGCTTCTTGACAATGCTGTGGCTGTGTAAGAGGCCCTTGGAGGGGTCAGACAGTGTAATTGGGCTTTAGTGTAAATGAGAATCTTCTAAGCAGGCTTTAAAAACTTGTTAAAGTACTTTTTGAAGGGATGACTTCCTGGAATGTCTTTTCAAGGCCTTCATTTAAAGTTTCTAGCAGTATGTCATTGCTGCCATCCTTGGATAATATCCTTGAAGTAGCTTTGAGGGGGGGAAAAAAATGAGTCTTCGTAGGTGCGAGGAAAGGAACTAATCCTGCAAGGTGTTAAGCATTTCGTGAGAGGGGCTGAGCCTCACAACCCTTGATTTCAGTGGAATCTCTGTGTATGCCTTTAGCTCTCAGAAGACACCAGTACCCTGTAGGATTAAAGTCCAAAACATTCCATTTATCTTCAGTAAAGAAATAGTGTCAGCCTTACCTGTGAGCTACTTACATATACTTATTATTAACTATCATTAACAGGAGGAAATGCATGTGTCAAGTAGAGCAAAGTATTTTGACACATGACTAATTTTAAGCATGTCAGTAGTCCTGTTGATTTCAGGGGGACTATTCGTATGCTTAAAGACCTGTGCTTAAGGTCTTTGTCAGGGTCAGAATGCTTGTTTGCTAATTGTTTGCTGTGTATGGAAGGGTATGGTCCTGTAGTTCTAGTGACTGCAAAACTCATTTACTTACATCAGAGCTATGTCTGAGCTGATTAGGCATATATTGAATCAGAAGGATTTTTAAATGCTTTTCGGTGGGCAGAACTCATTTTCCGGATGTTGTGTGAGTAACTCCAAGAAGTTGTTTCAGTTTGAAGATGCATCACTTTTTTCTTAAGATTTCATACTGAAGTTAGATGTTAAGAATTCCTTGAGCTGATTTTCACACCATCACATTAAGTTCATGCCAAATGTACCGCAAATTAAATTTAGTATAAAAGAGTGGGAAATCAAGGCCCTCCATTTGTAATTCATGTTTCATTTCACTTTAACAATCATTTCTATATTTTTAGATGCATTAAACCACAACTCAAATCTTTTGCACTCGGTGTTTATACCTTGGCAATACGAGTTCTTGGTAAGTTTGGTTCTACATTTCATCTTATTTTGGATACATTGTAGGGCTGTTCCTATTAACTGCATATATCAGCAGTGACTCAGAATCTTGTCTAGAATTAGTTTCAGATTCCCCATGAATATTAATTTTTAAAATATAACAAATATTAGCAACAGGAAGTGTGAAAATTTGTTTTGTTAAATCTGTGCATATTTTCCATTTTATTAAGAAGAGTTAGCAAATACTGTAAGAACTCACAAAGACAACAAGGAAAAGCAATATTTTTTCTAGAGTTGTTGTTTCTCATACAACATTAAACCATCTTTGAGTCTCCTCTCCCTTACTGGATATTCTCAGTAGATACGATGGTGATTGTCATTATATTACAATTAGAATAGAACAGGGCCTCAGGTTCTTCCCATTCTTCACTCAGACATATTTTTATTGACTTTACTGAGAATTTGCCCAAACACAGGCCACTGATGTCAAGACTAGATTTAAAATTTTTCTATTTACTTCAAAGAGAAAGTAATAAGACTGGAACTTTTACGCTTGGAAAGAGATGATTAAGGTATATGATAGTAGTCTATACAATCATGAGGAGTGCAATGGCACCTTAAAGACTAGCAAATTTGGGCATAAGCTTTCATGGGCTAGAACCCACTTTGTTAGGTGCATTTTAAAATGATGGAGAACATAAAGAAAAGTGTTATTTACTCCTTCCACGAGAACTAAGGGTGGGGTCACCAAATGAAATTGCTAGGTAGCAGGTCTAAAGTAAGTGTAAGGAAGCTTTTCTTCACACAACGCAGTCAGTCTGGAACGTCTTGCCAGAGGATGTTGTGAAGGCCTATAATAGGGTTCAGAAAAGAACTAGATAAATTCATGTCTGCCAGTGACTATTAGCTAGCATGGAGAGGGATGGTGTTTCTTGCCTCTTGTTTGCCAGAAGCTGGGAATGAGTGTCAGAGGCTGAATCTCTTGGTGACTATCTGCTCTGTTCATTTTCTCTGAAGCGCTTGGCACTGGCCACTGTTGGAAAATGGGATACTGGGTAGATGGGCCTGTGATATGATCCAGTAAGGCAATTCTTATGTTCTTATTGTGTATCATTTTGTTAATAAACATATCAAATTCATTCTATTTTATGCAAAAGCCTCATTCGTGCTCTTTGTTTTTTTAATTCTTACAGCAGGAGTCCCAGCCCCCGTGTATTTTGGAGTATCCATAGATACAACTTGCCTGAAATGGGGAAGCAAAAGTTGTGGGGGAAGAGGAGCATGTAGACTATATGATTCTAATGCATTTAGGTAACAAATCTGATGAATTTATTCTTTCTGCTCATATGTTTTTAACTCTGTTGAAACACTGAGGACTAGAGCTGGTGGAAAACAACAATTAAAACCTTTTTTGGATGGACAACTGGGTTTTCAATTAAACAAAAATTATCATGGAAGATGTCTGCTTTTCTTGAAAGTAAAACTCAAAAATGAAAAAAGTGGTGGAGAATCAAAAAAAATCTTTGGGGACATTTGGGGCTGACATATTCTGTCTGGGGAACTTTTTGGCTAATATTTATTCATTTTGGTTCCTGCCCTTTTAATATAAAGTTTAAATTGCCTGCAGAAACATTGTTTCTTCCTCACCCCCCAATTTTTTTCTACTAGCTCTAGTGCAAGCTAGATTGTGGTAGCTAATACTTGCACTGAGAGAAATGGGTCACAACAAGGCATTATAGTAAGGGAGCCACAAAACTCTGTAACAAGGTATGCTAGCTTTTTAAGGACCAGTCTAAGTTCAGTATACAGCCTCTTCCCGACTCACGAACCGGTTACAGACCAAGCAATTGGTTGTAACTCGGTTCGTTCATAAGTCGGACCCCATAGAGTTACACACGCCCGCACTGTTAGTAAGCGTGGATTGCGTTCGTAACTCGGGGTACGCTATTTACGACAGCTTCGGACATAACTGCGAACAGTCGTAAGTTGACTGTTCACAACTCAGGGACTGGCTGTAGTTACTGATTTCTTCCTAGGACAGTGACATTCTCAGAGATTTTCTATGGAATAACATCTAGGAGTTAAGAGACTGAGAAGCCAGACATGCTAGGAAATGGGGTTGGGATATAATAGTCTCCTCCTTTCTGGTAAAAAAGGTTACCTGGAGGAAGCAGAGTTTCTGATAGGTCTCATCACTGAGGAGACAAGAAGTAAGGTAAGAAGTAAGACCTATTTTAAATAGTTGGAAAGAAAGAGAAAAATTAGGAGCCGGGGAGGACTCCATTTTCATTTGGGGGTCTCCAGGTGTTTCTGTAAAACAGTAACAAATAACTATACTAGTTCATAATTATTACTAATGGATGCCTGCATCACAGAAATGCCAATCTTGTTGTATCTCTGAAACTGCCAAAGCTTGAATTGACTGCTAAAGAGATGTAAATATTCCTCTTGTCCTATAAAGTGGTCTCTCCAAAATCTTCCCTCGCTTTCTCTCACTAAAGGACATTGGCAGTTTCAGTTTGTGGGGAGCTTACATTGCCCCAAACTGTGCTGTACCAGATAAAGGAGGGTGTTCATCACGCACCTGGCATGCATTTTATATTCATTTAATTTTACTAATGTTATTAGATTATAAATGGCTCTCTTTTGCAGAGTTCTTTCAGATATGACTGAGGCATTAATTGTGCATTACCTTTATGGAAGACTGACTGAGGTTCTTCTTTTATAGATACATATATTTGGGATTAACAGTGGTATTGGGCTCCATCTCCATTTTCTTGAGTATTGCGGTCCTTTTCGTCTTAAAGAAAAGGTATGTTCCACAAGATGAAAACATCGCAGCCAACGGAGGGAGAGGAAAGGTCTCAGTACAAAACAGGAAAGATAATTGTGTCAATAGTGACTATTTAATTCAGACAACGTACTGGCCAGAAAAGGAAACTCGACTTTAGGAAAATGGATATTTTTTAAGGGAGATTTTTGACTAGCAGGAGGAGTTCCATACAGAATTCTACTTAAACATGTTTGAGTGGGTGAGTGTTATTGAGCAACTATTTTGAAAATGTTCCCCTTTATCAAAGTTTGATCGTAAATACCAAAAATCTTCCTAGAATGAGTATAGGTCTGAAAATATGGTTCTACGCTTGCCTTAAAAATATAAGGTGAAAATCACTCCCCTTCACAAAAATCCAGGTATTGGACTCTTTGCAGGGAATTAAGTGAGGGTTCTGAAAGGGCAGTTTGTTTCTTATCCTGAAGGCAAGCCGTGTGGCTGCCCCACAGATTCCCCTCAGCAGTTCTTGCTACCCCTTTTGTATCTCCCTTGCGTGAGAGGTAAAGAGTGGCCTGGAACTTATGACCCAATGCTAGTGATCTCTTCCATATTGACCTCTAAGGAATGAGTGTAGAAATACCCTTGATGGAACACAAGAGACATAGAATCCCCTACCATGGATGCTTCCCCATAAATGAAACAGGTAGTGCATTGGGCTTTCTGTGAGATTCTCTACACCAAGGTAAATCCATCCATGATGTTTCACAGCTAAGTGTTGTGATTAGGAATTCCTTCTCAAATTTACTCACATAAGCTCTGTCAAATCATGACCTCAATAACAAAGAAGCTGTCACTAGTAAAACCACGACTTTGCCAAAGGAAATCTGAATTAAAGACATAGCTATTCTATGTTTTACATGGTTTCTTGCTGCTTGCTTACACTCAATGACTGTATAATTCCATACCTTTTTTTATACAATGTAATAAACAAACTGATTTAACATATGCCTGATTAAAAAACAATGGCAAGACTCTTTGGGAATAATAAAATGAATCCTGAGAGCAACTGTCTTTGTTTGTTTCCTTTTATTTATGCATTTTAATTTATTTAATTCCTTAGGGCAGAAATGTGTCAAACCATCTACATTGATTTTTTTTTCATGGTTTTGGTTATATTTGTACTTTGATGTGTTTGTGAATAAGTTGAACTGAATTAATGTCTGCATTAAGCATGCACCATGTATACTGTAGCGTTTACTGAAAATATCACCCCAGCCAAAATTCTTAAAGGAATAAATGATTTTTGACCAATATTCTTCAGCTCTGGGTCATATTATTTGAAACATAATCTCACATCAGATGACTGTAAATCACATGGGAACTGAGTTTCAAGGGTGAAACTGTTAGCTGGAGTGGTACCTGAGTTGTCCAGATTCACAGTTTGAAGTTATCCAGTCCATTCTAGTTATCAAAGAACTGTTAAGGCTTTTATTTATTATCATTTAATATTTGTTACCTGGGCCTCAGTAAGGAAAAGGATCTCAATGTGCTGTTCGAACATAATTTGAAAATGTGGCTCCAGTTGCAAACAACTCAACATCTAAGAAGCCACATGACAGAGAAAAGTTGAGGAAAAGAGATGCAACAACAACAACAACAAAAAGCCAGGATGAACTCCCATGCTCTTCCAGATTGAGATCCTTGAAATTTGTGGGTCCCAAACTCATGCATGCTTAATCTTGGCTCATTCCCAGTCTCACGCAGGTTAGGTCTTCTCTCATTCCCAGACTCAGAAGTGTAAAGCACTGACGTATTGCTATCTTCAGGTCAAAACCCTGGACACACATTCCCAGATTTAAGCCAGAAATGTAAGGATAATATAAATGTAAGGAAATGGCCTCAAATTTCAGTAGTAGATGAGACTGACCAGGACAAGAATTTTCAAGAAAAATAAAGTGCATCATATCTTTCGGATTCCGAAAGACACAAAAGAGAAAGTCCAAACTTCTATGCCTATTTCCATCATTTGTGTGTGTGTGTGTGTGTGTGTCTCTCTCTCTCTCTCTCTCTCTCTTATGTGCTGGTATCCCCCTGCCCTAAAACTTGAAATGAAGGCCACTATGGGTGAATTCAGGCTTTGTTTGTGACAATGCATGTTTTCACTAAGGTTAAATATGGTTGTTTCCATTGCTATTGTGTAGTATCGCATGGCCAGTAGCAGTATCTTAATCTCAGCAATCCTCTAGTCAGGTAGTCAAGGAGGGCTAGAGATGTATGGCCTGTATTGGTTGTACCCAGTGGCAATCAGGAATTCTGCCACAATAAGTTGTCTTAAAGAAAGAGTTCTGAAGGGGTTCTTAACAGAATTCCCTTCCCTAAAGTAAATCTATAAATGACAGTTTATGACCAATATAATCCTAATTTGGAATTTTTTTTTAAATACAGATTATCTAATAGTTTATTCTCTTCAACACTTGCAACATGTAGGTATTAAAATGAGCCATACATATTCCACACGGATGTCTTTTGAGATGTGGTCTGAGGAGAGGTAAGTGTTTCTTATTGGTCTCTCAGGATTAAATTGTATCCATTAGGGATCCACTGTGACTGTGTTTTATAACTCAAAGTAAGAGGGATTGATCATAATGTTATGTAAAATTAGTTAATCAGTGAAAGCCTGTTAAATCTAACACTCCTCCTTGGCTTACGTGGTGGAATGAAGGATGCTGGGATCAGGAATGCTGCCATATCGGCTAGCTGACATGGTTTCCATCATATACAGGGTTGAACATTGGTTAAATGGCTCACAGAACCCCTTCTGTAAAAATTGATTCAGTGCCCAGTCCTTGGGTGCAGGAGAACAGACACAAAAGTCAGGATCCAGATTTCCACAGCTATGATTTTAGAAATAAAAGAAATCCTAGCCATTGTTACTAGATAGGGAGGGTAAAATTGTCTTCAATTTTGCAGAAAAGACAATGTATCAAATAAATGTCTGGCTTGTGTTTGGGAGAAGCATGTACTCCAAGCTCAGAATGGTAAAGAAATGCTTTCTATTCCGATAGTAGTTAACAGTTGCTGTTTATCATCTTGTAAAACTAAACATTTGCACGACTATATAACTTGTACCCAAGACTTTTCAAAGAATTGACTGAGGAGCTCTCTAAGCCATACTTAACAAATCTTGGAATTCTGGAGGATTTGGGGGGTGAGGGAGGATGGATAGAGAGCTAATGCTGTGTGTTTTATTTTTCATAAAATCATGCTGGCTGGTATTAATTATGCTGGATCAGCTTTTCTATGATTTTGTCTGCAGTCAACCTCAAAGGTAGGGAGGGGGGGTGGATTCTGGAGTGGGCTAGGGGACAGGTCATTTGCCTGGGGAGTGCAGGGAGATGGGCTCAAGCCCCCCTCCACCTACCCAGGCAGCTGCTGGACAGCTAACACCAATTGCCCCAGGATGGAGCTGGCTCTGGCATTAGGAAGGCAGCATAAGGGATCCTCTAAAACTAGTCAGGTGGGATGGCTTCTGGAGTGGATTAGGGAATAGGGGAGTAACCTGGGGAGCTCAGGATTGGGGGCTTGAGTCCCCCACCCACCCTGATAGCAGCCAGACAGTCCACACAGGCTGCCCCAGGGATGGAGCTGGCTGTGATTATAAAAAAACAACCCAGAACTATACAAAATCAATCCCGCACACATTACATAGAATAAATTTCACTAACTGAAGAACTTCAAAAAGTAATTGTAAATAGGCAATAAACATTTCATGGGCCATATCTAGTGGGGTTCTGCTGGAATCTGGTCTTGGGTCATTATTCTACATTATATTTTCTTCCAGATAGTTGTTAAAAATAGTTGCAGGTAGAGTTTGTACATGCTCTAAAAATGGGCAGTGTACTAAATAATTGACAGGTGAGCTCTATGGAGTGATGAAGATTGTTGAGTAATCTTGGCTTATGTGAATAATGTGCATATTAACAAACCTAAAAGCAATGGCTAGGAACCAAAAATATAGCTCTCACTTATAGGATGGGGAGACTGTACTATGGAAAACAGTGTCTCAGAGAACAACTCAGCTGTCATGGTCAATAATCATCTGACCATGATCTCACAGCATGATGTGGTGATCTGGAGAGCCATTGCAATCCATGGATACATAAATAGAGGAATATTGAGTAAAAGTAAGGAGGAATTATCACTGTAAATGTCATTAGTAAGACCATTACTGAAATACTGTGTAAAGTTCTGGTATCTGCACTCTTTAAAGGATATTTGCACATTAAAAAGGGTTTAGAAAAGAACTAAAAGAATTATTCCAGATCTGGAAAATCTTCCAGACAGTGAAACACTAAAGAAGCTCAATCTATTTAGTTCATCAAAGAGAAGGTTAAGGGGCAACTTGATCATGACCTCTAAATACCAAGTGGAGTGAAGATTTCTGACAGTCAAAGGATATTTAATCCATCAGACAGAAGTATGGCAAGATCCAGTGCCTGGAAGATAAGGCTGAACAAATTTGAACAAGAAATAAGACACACAATTTAAAAAAATAATTATTTTTATAGCATGGATAATTAGCATTGGAATAACTTACTTAGGGATGTGGTAGATTCATCATCTCCTGATGTCTTTAAATCAAGACTACATGTCTTCATTCAAGATATTTTTAAAAACGACAAGTGGTCCTGTGGTACCTTAGAGACTAACCAAAATATATAGAATCATGGGCTTTCATACGCAAACCCACTTCATTAGATGAAATGGAGACTTGTAGTTCTAGTTGAAATTATAGGTTTGATAAAGGAATCATTAGTGAAATTATAGGAACTGTTTTATGCATGAGGTCAGACTACATAATAATCTCTAGATATTACCCAAGACATTTTGAAGTCAATTGGAGTTTTACTATTCACTTCAATGGGGCTAGGAATTCACACTCTGAATCTACTATGCTATGATGACATGTCTTGAACTTTAAATAAAACCCTAAAAATGAGTAGTTATGTAGTACTTTAGAGACTAACAAATATAGAGTATCATGAGCTTACATGGGCACAACCTACTTTGTCAGTGAGCGGAGCAAAAGGGACAGAACCCCCAAATTTAAAGCAGAAAAAGAAGGGGAAATTCTGTCTATTATAGTGCTCATGCTAAATGAGGCTACTAGAGTGGGCTGTAAGTGTCCCATAGTTAGCTTTTTTTAATGTCATTTGAGTGTTGACTATAGTGGTCCACCCTGTTTTCTTTGTTTCTGATAGAGGAGGTATCTGAGCCTCTAGCTATCATCTTTGGAAAATCATGGGAGACAGGAAAGATTCCAGAAGACTGGAAAAGGGCAAATATAGTGCCCATCTATAAAAAGGGAAATAAGAACAACCCAGGAAACTACAGTTTAACTTCTGTGCCAGGGAAGATAATGGAGCAAGTAATTAAGGAAATCATCTGTAAACACTTGGAAGGTGGCAAGGTGATAGGGAACAGCCAGCATGGATTTGTAAACAACAAATCATGTCAAACAAATCTGATAGCTTTCTTTAATAGGATAACGAGTCTTGTGGATAAGGGAGAAGTGGTGGATGTGGTATACCTAGACTTTAGTAAGGTGTTTGATACAGTCTCGCATGATATTCTTATTAACAAACTAGGTAAATACAACTTAGATGGGGCTACTATAAGGTGGGCGCATAACTGGCTGGATAACCGTACTCAGAGAGTAGTTATTAATGGTTCACAATCCTGCTGGAAAGGCATAACAAGTGGGGTTTCACAGGGGTCTGTTTTGGGACTGGCTCTGTTCAATATCTTCATCAACGATTTAGATATTGGTATAGAAAGTACGCTTATTAAGTTTGCAGGTGATACCAAGCTGGGAGGGATTGCGAGTAATCTGGAGGATAGGGTCATAATTCAAAATGACCTGGACAAATTGGAGAAATGATCTGAGATAAATAGGATGAAGTTTAATAAAGACAAATGCAAAGTTCTCCACTTAAGAAGAAACAATCAGTTTCACACATACAGAATGGGAAGCGACGGTCTGGGAAGGAGTATGGCAGAAAGGAATCTAGGGGTTATAGTGGACCACAAGTTGAATATGAGTCAGCAGTGTGATGCTGTTGCAAAAAAAGCAAACATGATTCTGGGATGCATTAACTGGTGTGTTGGGAGCAAGACATGAGAAGTCATTCTTCTGCTCTACTCTGTGCTGGTTAGGCCTCAGTTGGAGTATTGTGTCCAGTTCTGGGCACCGCATTTCAAGAAAGATGTGGAGAAATTGGAGAGGGTCCAGAGAAGAGCAACAAGAATGATTAAAGGTCTAGAGAACATGACCTATGAAGGAAGGCTTGAATTGGGTTTGTTTAGTTTAGAAAAGAGA